GGCTTAGTTATATTTTATACAATGAATATGTTCAATCAATATAATGCAATTTTTATAAACAAATTAACCAAACCGCCTCTATTATCTTTGAGGAACGTTACGCGACCTAACTCTTTTTCTAGCGACAATCCGTCGCATTTGCCCCCATCTCTGAACTCGACATTAAACCCGTCACAATATGTTCGTTCATTTTATCCCTCCCCTCCCAAGAGTTCTAAAAGTGATGTTCAATTGCAAGCTGTCTAATTATAGGGTTTTATATATTGGCTTAAGAATTTTTTCGAAATAATTCAATTTAGAAATAATGTTAGAATACAGTATGAATTGTTTTGGCTTCGAATATTTTAATGACATATGATAATGGTTATGAAAAAGGAAATCTCAGTTGAATTAGTTATAGGTATATTTTAAAATTATCGTAACTCATGCTTCGAATTTATTGTGGTTTAATTGCTTTTACTAACTACTTTAATCGTTGAATTTAAAATTCATAAAACTGATGTCGTTACAGGTTCCACCGTAACAGATTTCTGGGGCTTGGTTTGTGCATTTCCAAGAAACAGTGGCAAGCACTGAAACTGTAATCAGTTTAAATCTATCGTCGTGCAATTCTTAAAAATGTACATAAAGAATACCTTTTCGTGTTAGGAAAGCAGGAATTACAATAATCTCATAATATTTCAGATCCCAAATAATCTAACTCATGAATTACATCGGTGCCAGGTAACCTTTTAATTAAATTTATTTAATTACTTAAAATTAGAACTATAATAATTATACATTCTAATGATTTTATATCAGTTCAATTATCATTTGCGATTAAATTGAGACTATATTCAATGTTACATTGGCGTACTTTCGTTGACAAATGCCCATTCATGAATTCAGAATATGAAATTTGAAACGGAATTAATAGATCAGTATTATTCATACAAGCGCATGAATGTATCAGAAACATTTAGCGAAAGCATTGATTTGATAATTATTGGCATGAGAAGAAGATTTTGTTACCAAATATTGCATTAATATATATTTGGTTGCGTTCAGGAGTAGTGTTGAACGTAGCTTTTCGGCTTATAAGCGAATTTTAGCAGTTAATAAACATGCATTGTTGAATTTTTTAAATTTTGATAAATAAATCATCTTTTCAGAGAAGATTTAAAAATCGCATCCTATTTAATTATTTCGCATAAGCTTAATTTATTACATCCATCACATAATTAACCTCGATCGCATCGCACAATCTATTATTGCGCTGCATAACGATAATTCTGGATATCCTAGCACATATATGCACGTGAAATGTTGTGCCCATAGCAGTCCCTAAATTTGACCAATCAGTTTAATGCGATAATAACAAAATTCGTCAGCATAAAACAGCGTAACTACCTATTTACTAGAAAATAGCGCTTTTTTAGATGCTATAAAAATCCTGTATATATTTCGTAAAACTCAGGCTAACTGAATCTTTATGCTCCACAAAATCAAATCAAATATTTCTTACTCAATGAATTGTTCATTGAGCAAGAATATAGATCAAATTGACTTGATCAAATATCTGATTTAAATCTCAACTTTGATTTTACGGAGCATTACTAAATCTCCGAATCTATTCAGATTTTTTTTTGTCGCACTGCGTCAAAAATTAACTTTATGTGATTTAGTTCAATTTATTTTTAGCTGTTTTCAAACAAAAAAGTGACAACATAAAAAATTTACGTTATGTCCAGATTCGCAGGGTACTTTGTTTCCAACATATTAATATGATGGATGTTAATAGATGTTAATATATCAATTTTCATAATATTAGATGGAAATAATAAATACCATGGCGGGAACTCGATTACACAAACGTATGAGTGTACATGTTTTTGTTACGTTAAAGTGCAAATATAACGCGCGTACAGATGGCAATCTTTCAAGCTTACGTTTTTGAAATGATCTACCGTTTTTTGTCTAAAATACATTATAACAAGTAGCTTTTGTGTTACTAGGCGGCGTACACCCCCGCTAAGATCCGGACAACAAATAGATTTTGTTTTTAATATCAGTTGCACTAGATCTTGGAATTTAATTAGTTGCAATTACAAGGGGTAGTTTTTTAGTGAGTGCGTTTCAAAAAAACAACAATAATAATACACAACTGCAGTACGTGTGACGTACGTACGTGCGTGCGTGCGTACTGTCGCTCGTAAAATTAGCGCTTGAAATTCTATGAAACATATAGTAAAGCTGACGTTATTTTTACGGGTATTTATGTCATTTAATTCTACGCTTTAGTTCCAGTTCCAGACTAGTACATATGTTTACTGTGTCATTATACTTTCACAGATAATTGGATATGAAGCAACTAATTACGTGTTCTTTTATTTGCAGGTAGCACATTAGTGCAGGCAAGGTAACACGTTAACAAAACAATTAAATAATATTATAATATTGAATGCAGCAATACATTCTTCGCAATCATTCTTAACCATGTTCACTGAAAATGATTTCGAGAGTTTAGATTTATTATGGTACGATGTCAGCCAATCTAACCATCCGAAACCAATTGGCAGTGGAGCATTTGCCGACGTGTATTATCTAGAATTAAAAAATTCCAAGTGTGTTGCACTGAAAATTTTCAGAATAAGCGACGAAGCATCGGAGGAAATTCGTAAAGCTATATTAAGAGAGGTAAGATAACTAAATGTGTGATATAAGTCTAGGAAGTCTAAATGTTGATTATATACTATAAAATAAAGTATTATTCTATATTTAGACTTCATGGTTTTCACTGAGTGACACTCATATTAAACAATATATAGTTATTGGGTGCGATACTGCCAATAATTTATTTGCATTGGTTTAAATTTAATGTGTTATTTCTAGGGCCAAAAACTGATATAATAATTTGAATATTATTCTTACAACTTAATCTCATTATTGGCTGCTTCGCATCCTATTATTCTGTTAGCAAGATCTTAGTAAACTATTGGATAACATATGAAATTTATATTAACATTATAAATTCATCCAGATTAGATTGCATAAAAAAGTGGGCGTACACGATAATATTGTACAATTTTATGGGATCTCTAAAGGTTAACTGTTAAATTAATTAAAAAACTGATTATTTTAATTAAATGTTTTTTTGATCTAATATACAACTTTGATTTATGAATTTTAAACTAGTCAAAACATTTTTTAATGAGTCGAATTATGCGTTAGTTTTAGAATTTGCAAATGGTGGTACACTAAGAAGCTATTTACGAAACACAACCCTTGATTGGCCTAATAAGCTTCGCCTTGCACAACAGCTTACTGCAGCCATTGTTTATATGCACTTTGCGGATATTGTTCATCGAGATCTTGTAAATGCAACATTAATAACTTAATATTGCGGTTTTATTATTATTGTATTAGGTCTAATACTTATCGTCTTATTATATCTAGCACTCAAATAACATACTAGTTCATGAGAATAATATTAAAATTTCCGATTTTGGACTTTCTAGATGTTTGGCTGATGCAACAAAAACCAATACAGAACTCGGTGGTTATATACCATATATCGATCCGCAATTTCTTAAAGAATTTGAAAACAAACCATATAAAATAAATAAAGAATATGATATATATAGTTTGGGTGTGCTTCTATGGGAAATATCTAGTGGACATCCTCCATTTGAAGATATGGATAAAAATCTTGTACATCTTCACATATTAAACGGCAGCAGGGAAATCCCTATCAAAGGAACTCCGAAAAAATACTATAATTTGTATTCTGGTTGGTTTCATGCGTTTGTAATTATAACTATCACTAAACATTACATGCGTTAATTAAAATATTTATAGAATGTTGGCAAGATGATGGAATAAAGCGTCCTAATATTGCTGAAGTTGGTGAAAGGCTTAGGTAACATTTAGCCACGTTAAATTACTATTTGAAAAACGATAATTCAATGTAATGTTGTTTATATTTCTCGAATTGTATAATAATATATATTTTTTAATTATATGCAGCGTGTAAGTATGAAGTTATTGATTTAGTATTAAATGTGGTAGATAGTGCTGATGCTGAAATTCTGTGCCTCAAGTTTATAATACCTATTAAATCAATTTGTGCTCTTTCATTAGTAATTCTGCCTTAAATTCTAACCTAACTCTAAAAAAAAATAAAAAATTCAAAATAGGGTAAAGCAATGATATTCATGCGTTCTAAAGTTAATTTGGTCATTAATTGGTCTAGTAGTTTTTTAAAGTTAAATCTTTACTAAATTCAGACCAAATATTTCAAGAACTATTGGTTCAATTTTATCAACATTAGACCGGAAAATTTAATTATCAAACATAAAGGTTTTGGCTAATTACTAATACCTTTTCAAGCATGTTTTTATGGATAACAATAATAAGGGTATGAATATCAATTCTATAAATTTTAAAATTTTATATTGAGATAGGTCAAAATTCAGCATCAGTTACAACTACCATATTAATATCATTTATCTAAAACATTTCACTAATCTTTTCTAATAAATTGATATGCATAAATAATTAGGATGTGAGTTGAAATTTTGATACAGCATCTATGAAATTATGCGAACTGATTTTCTTTTCCATTGCTATTAAAGTGCACTAGAATATTTAAATGACGATGTGATAAAAAAAGACAACACAGTTCCAACTCTGTGTATTTTGGCACGAGAAATCAAGATCAACATTTTTAGATTCATATTACATCCAAAAAATTTATCATTAACATGCAGATGTTGGAATGACATTATCAACTGTCCACAAGCTAGAGCTGAATGGATTCTCTACCATTATGGAAATGCCCATTCACTCTTTCATGCAGTTAGACTTGGTCCATGCTTTATAAACAATTCTGTTGCTGAATCTATACTTGCCAAGGGAGGTTTATTTTCTCACTATTTTGCACAACGGTTGCTCATGGATTTTGGTTGCATTGATAATTTTAATGAACTCGTTGAACATAAGATAAGACACATAAAACAAGCAGATGCTGAAAAAATTCAACATCTACAAAAAAAAAATAGTGTACATTGGGCTTGTGATTTACCTATTCAGGTTTTCATATATTTGGTTTTGGAAACTCCAAAACGTTTTAATGAACTAGAGATTGCATTGAAAGGGAATGATATGAAGTTATTTCATCTTTATACTGGAGGTCAGCACCCTATAAATAATGCTCCGAATATATTAACAAAGAATCTGGAGCTCATCAAGGAACTTATCTATCAATATAAATTTATACCATTTCCTCCGAGACCTGTCTGTCGATCATCAGATTTTTCAGAATCATATAATTTTTTAGAACCATATGATTTTTCAGAAGAATACCCATCGAAAAATGGTTTTGAAAATAATAGCCAATTGAATGTGATTGCTCGAGCAATCTTGATTCATAAAGAGTTAGTAAACATGTGGATTGATATAGGTTATTTTGACATATGTAATGATGTGAATGATCTAGTCTTACAAGGTGCGATCTTAATCTTATATCCACCTATGTCTACTAATAATTGGTTACGCCCAGATGTGAATAAAATCAATGAACGCCTCTCAGAGCTTATTGAACTTGGTTTTAAACTGACATATTCAGTCATCTGTGATATCTTGGAGCACCGATTTTACGATATCGGTGAAATTTTACTTGAATCATTTTTATCTCTTAAGAAAGATAACCATTTTTTCGAGAATTGTGTGATAGAAGTGATCAAGCCAGAACGTAATCTGAAAAAAATGGATTTATTAGATTTCTTGTATAATAATATGAAACAAAATCAAGAGGAAATATTCTTAAATGCGATGAGATTTTATCATTTTAATGGTAATGATTGTGAAAAGCTTAAAACATATACAACATCTATAAGGCCTCTCTCTTTATCAAAAATTTATTATGATTGGGCACTTTCAAAATTCAAAGCTAATTCAATTATAGCATCACTTTGCTTTGAAGATATTTTACAAACAAGAATCAGCATTGTTAAATGACAAAATTCAGACGAAAAGTTGAACGGACAATTCAAACTGAAATAGAAATAGCCTTTAACATTTATAATATTTATATCCGCATACATAAATTTCAGTTTCTCAAGTAATATACTTATCTATTATTTAAAAGTTTTTATTTTTTACCTATATGCATTATTTATCTTTGAAACTTTCAAATTCTTGTACTACTAGCATTAGTTCGATCAATTCCCAAAATATGTATTACGAAAATCATTTTAATTAGAAAATTTCTTAACATACGCTAGTGTATGTACATACTAGTTAGTTGTAAATCCGTGTAAGATAAGAATAAAGAAAACAAAAAATTAATTTGATTATTTTTTAGATTAAAGTTAGGGTTTAAGGTTTGGGTTTGGGTTAGGGTATAGTTTATACTAAAATTTCACGAGGCCTTTTTTTTGTTAGAACCCAAAGGCTGTTTTATTAGTAAAACTTCAAGTTATACATATACCTGTGTTTTATACACTGGTGTACGAATAGAAATCGTCTTCTAGTTATTCGTAACTCTATAATAAAAATAGTTATGGCTAATATGTTTATCATAAAAAATATACATAAATATTAACTCAAAATTTAAAACTATAAAAATAACAAAAATAAAAAAAATATTATCTCTGTTTTGCCCTCTTTATTAAGATTTCTTAAACACTGTATCTTGAAATCTGACTTGTAATCTGTTATAAAAATTAACCCTAAAGAATTATTACAAATTTCTTGAATCTCTAATTGTACCGTATAAGTTCATAAGAATTTTTTACCATCGTGATCCCAACTCGATCATAGATTATTCATGTGTATATGCACTACGTAGCAATTTGGCCTCCCGTTTTAGTCTATAAATAGGTTATTGTGTTATTGTGTAATCAGATAAAAATGCAAATTCGGCAAATTTATGTTTCACACAATTATAAAAGAACCTTTTTATTATTAAAAAAAAAATCGATTCATGTGAAGATAATAAATTGTGTTAATTAAATAACTTCTATTAATTTTAGTAATGGATTTATCTTCAGAACATAATGATATTCTATCAAAAGTAAATCAAAGCTATTATTTATGTATAATATGCAAGAAATTTAACACCTCTCCTGCTTGGTGTCAAATGTGCGATCCACCAAGGGGTGGACAAGTGGAAATCATGATATCGATGATTATATTTAAAAGTATCAGCTTAAGGCAACCAAATATGAGAAAATTGTTGAGTGGATTCCTTTTGATAAATTAAAAAACATACAGAAGATCTCGAATTTAAGTGATAAAAAGCCTTTAAGTGCTTGGAATGATTACAGACAAATAGATACAAAGCTTTTAGGTGTTTGGATTGATGGCATACGATTAATTTCTGGAAATCCTGGAGAATATGTAAAATCACGTAGACCATCAAGTACTGTTATGCTTATGACTTTTTCTCATTCACAAACAAGTTCTAAATATTTTTTATATCAAGTAAGTTTAAGCTAGCACTTTAACGTATATTATTACTATCCAAATAATATAAGTTTTATCATATTTATTATTTTTATTTCTAAGGTTGATAAATATTTACGTTCGAATAAACAATGTAAATTATTTGGATTTACTCAAAATTCATCCAATGAATATATGATCGTATGTGATGAGTTTTATTATAATAGATCTTCTAATAATGGTTGATGCACACAATGCAATGAATTTAATACTTCTCCAGCATGGTGCTACTCTTGTGATCCTTTAAAAACATTACAAGATTGGGTGAGTGGAAATAATGATATCGATGATTATATTAAAGAGCGTCAGCTTAAGGCTACCAAATATGAAGATGTTATTGAGTGGATACCTTTTAATAAATTGCAAAACATACAAAGTATTTCAATTATAAAATTTTCGGCTGTTTGGATTGCTGGCATACGGTTAGTTTCTGAAAAAAGTGGAGGATATATACAATCGCGTATATCATCAAGTGCTGTTATACTTATGACTCTTACTGATTCAAAAAGTCCTGTTAAATTTTTAAATGAAGTTAATATTTTAATATATTTAACATTACTATAAATTTTAATATGTTTATTATGCTTTATTACAAGGTCGATGAATATTTACATTCGGCTAAAAAATGTAAATTATTTGGATTTACTCAAAATTCATCCAATGAATATATGATCGTATGTGATGAGTTTTATTATAAAAGATCTCGTGATAATGGACGATGTACACAATGCAATGAATATAACACTTCTCCAGCATGGTGCTACACTTGTGATCCTCCAAGAACATTAGGGGAATGGACGAGCGGAAATAAGAATATCGATGATTATATTAAAAGATTTCAATTTAGTGTCATAAGATATGATGAAATTATTGAATGGATTCCTTTTGATAAACTAAAAAATATACAGAAGATTTATAGTGCTCTGAACGGGTCAGTTCGGGTCGGGTTATGAACCAACCCGAACCTGACCCGAAACTTCGGGTCGAGTCAGGTTAAAAACTTTCGGGTTAGAGCTTCAACCCGACCCGAACCGACCCGAAACTGACCCAACCCAAAACCGACCCGACCCGACCCAAATTTTAAGGCTA